TTTAGCATGTACTAAACATATCTGTTGATTTGCCCCCTCATTCTATTGTTAAAGTAAATTTAAAATGGAGATCAGGTCTAAAGAATCCCTGAACAGACACAGCCAGTCAGGCATCTTAAGTTACCTTACCCTTGCACAATTTGCAGACATAAGCAAATCTGAATGTGCTATTTCTTATAAATGCCTATATTAGAAACAGCTCAACTAATCAGAAGCAGCAAACAAGCCTATAATTATATAACTGGGGACTTTCCAGCAGGATAGACCAAAGAAGACAATTTTATAAGTGAAACCAATAAAATGTTTTCTTTGTATTACTTCTGTGCTCACTCTGTAAAAGCCTTCTGCAGTGGAGACCCTGAACCAAGTCTAGTTGGGAGTTTCCCAACTGATGAATAGCTGTGTGCTCAGATAAACTTAAAAAAATTATTGTGCCTCAGTTTATTTTTTAAACACTATCATATTGGGAATCTAGTCTATTATTTAGTATATCCATCGTATCATGATTGACCATGTTAATATACTTAATAGCCTTCATTTTTCCATTGGAAGTAGCCCCTGTTATTTTAATTTGTTGCTATAGAGTAAATTATTTTATGCCTTTACTTATTTTGGGAACTGTTTTTGGGGATTATTTTGCATCCGTGTTCTGGTTCATAGCCACCAGACACTGCTTTCTGCTTCTTCCAAATATTCAACTTACGTGAGTCCCTATTTCCATATTGGGCTGAACAATTAGTAAAAAGAGGCTGTTCTCAGAACTCTGTATCAGTTATTCTAATACAGAAACACAGCATCATCATTTGTAATCAGAAATGAAATTGGGTAGAGCCCTTGGGGTACACACTCCATACAGAATGTAATTTTGTCACATTTTTTATTAGCTGTGTCAAGGTCCTTTAAAAATGAACGGAAGATGGAGTGATGAAAATGTTCTAAATGACTGTGGTCATGGTTGCACAACGCTGTGAATGTACTAAAAATCATTGACTTGTACACTTTAAATGAATGAATTGTATAGTATGTGAATTCCATCTCAATAAAGCTGTTAGAAATAAATAAAATCTTCAAGTACAGGACACAATTAAATCATTTAAATTAAAAATAATGCTTGTTTATTTAAATGGAAATAATAGATAAACCCAATAAACTGACAAATACATATGATTAAGAATGAAAATGGAGATTCTATTCTTCCTTACAGGAAGGACCCATGGTTCCAAATATACCACCCCAAGAAGCTAGCAACAGGCTACAGATATTTCAGGTGAAACTACATTTTTTTTGTTACATTGACAATGTATAATTAAAAAAAAATGATTTTAGGGAAAGATGTGGGTTTTACTTTATAATGGAGAAGTTTATTTCAAGTACATCAGACCTTAATTGTATTCTAATCTGCTAAATGATGCAATTGACTCCTCTGTCTCTTTCCATGCTCCTCTCTACAGAATAGCTCTCTGTATTTTTAGAGAATAAGACTGATTTTCAATTAAGTATATAACTTATTTTAGTTCTAAGCATTTCATTTGATATGTAAAGTAATAACAAATCATAGTATAGTAAAATTTATCAAAATAATATTTTAAATATTGGCAAATGTTTTCCCTCTGTATTCATTATTTTGTCTTCCTTTTGCATCCATCTCTTTAAATTTCCCCACTTCTTTGTCCTGTCTCCTCTGCCTGTACAGTACTCATTGGATCAGGCCAACCATTCACCATCTTTTTCTACACTCAGATTGCTGAGCGCATCTAGAGAAAGTTCACACATTCACATGGATTAATACTTTGAAAATTCATGGATTCTTATGTGAACTTGCTCCTCAGGAGCATCAAGCAATTCTGTTCTTTGCTCCTGCTCTTTTTCCTGTTTCCCACAGTGGCTGAATAGTGTGGTTACTTTCTTTTCATGTCCCCTTTCCCATCTGCATTCTTAGTAATAAAAAAAAAAAAAAAGATCAGCTGCCTGCTGTGTGACTTGCTCAGGAGAAATTTGATTAAGAAGTGGTTCTTACCTCTAAGCTGCTAAAGTCTGATAGAGAGACAGCAAGCTAGAGAGATAATTGCAAGTGCGATGAGAGCTGTGACCTAGGTATGTGAAATTGTGTAACGGAAACCGTTGTAATGGAAACAGATGGGCTGTTGGGGCAGATGGAGAAGGCTTCCTGAAAGAGGAAGAATCTAGGCTGCATCTTGAAGGACTAATTAGAGTTAGCCAGGGGAAGAAGGAGGGGAAAAAGAAAGTTAGGCAGAATTTGCAGCTCATACAAAGGCCTGGCAAAGAGGAAACTAGTAGGGCGATATGGGGAGATGTAAGGAGTGTAGGGTAGGTAGTACACCTTTGGGATGCAGTACTAAAGAGGATAGTGATGAGGAACGAGGTGACAGAGTGGGCAGCGAGCACAAGTGGAGGGCCCGGTAGGCAATAACAAGGAGTCTGAATTCTATCTTGAGAGTTGGAGGGTTCTAAGCGGGGAGTGATACGATCATACTTGAATTTTTAAAATAGTTGTGTTTTTAAAAGATTTTTAGTGGTACTAATGTGGAGACTGGTTTGGAGAGAGGAAGATGAAACTGCGAGCAGTTTTGGTAGCACAAGCAAGACGTTGTAAAGATTGAGACCAAGCAAGTGACACCTGTAGAATGAAGAAAGTTGGATGGATCACGAGTTTCTTAATGAAGCGGAATTGACAGACTTGAAACCTGATTTGAGGGAAAAAGTTAAAGCTTTCCAATTTGGGCATATAGACGAAGGTAGAACTGTGTATCAAAGGAGGGAATGTGGTAGGAAGAGTAGCTTTGAGGCTTGTTTGAGCAGATGACCTTATTTTCAAATTTGCAGAGGAAATTTAAGGCATGCGATGTAAACCAATTAATTGGTCAGCAACTGGGACATTATGTGCCAAGATTTTACCCAGGGGTTGCTAATGTAGCTGGGCATTGTGGCATGTGCCTGTAATCCCAGCCTACTCAGAAGGCTGAGGCAGGAGAATTGCTTGAACCTGGGAGGTGGAGGTTGCAGTGAGCTGAGATAGCACCACTGTACTCCAGCCTGGGCGACAGAGCAAGACTCCATCTCAAAAAAACAAAAACCAAAAACGAACAAAACGAAGTAAAACAACAACAACAACAAAAACCATCTCCAAAAAAAAGACAACGTAGGGCACATCTTTTGCCTTTCTGTACCTTCCGTTCTGCCTGTGCCTCGGGGTGTGAGCCAAACAGGCTGTTTGCCGTGCACCTCGCAGGATATGTGACTTGAGGTCAGATTTGCAGGCACAACCCTTTTCAAAATGAGGTGTACTCCAACTCCCTAAAAAAAAAGCAGGTGCCAAAGTCTGGATCTGCGGAGGTAGAGGTACCTTATATTGGGCCCTGGATCCTGATGGTGCTCTCTCATGCAAATTTATACGTGTTTTTGGGAGTTCCTGGGCACCCTGCTGGCCTATTGACAAAGCTGATACTTTATTCCTGTTCAGCTGATGCTGTGGGTCTTTTTATGTTTCTTGGAACCTGAAAGAAAAGGTGAGTGATTGGCATCCATCAATAGTCTTTACACATTGATAAGTTTTTAAACACCACTATTTTAATGCATTCTAACTTTGATGTTATTGTTTATCCTTCGTTAGTGTTCACATAGTTCCATGGACTCTTCAGCACATTTATCAAGTAACCACCATGCCAAACACCAAGGAATATACAAAGTACAAAATATGGCCCTTGCCCTCTAGGAACTAAGAGTTCATTCGAGTTCCCCCCGTATCTTCGTGTCTTCCCGATCTGGGTCCTGTAAAATATACTAACGTTATCTGTCAGACCTGTATTTTTGTCTAAGCCTTGTGAGGTCTGATGCTGGATATTCTCCAGGGCTGGGAATTTAGGGTTTTCGGGAATATGCTGTGCCACTTACACAGAGTGCTCATATGTCCTCACAGATGGGTTACTTCTGTTGGCATTTGTGCTTTGAACATTGCTAATATTTAGCATCTCAAATATAGGATATTCAAATTCCAATTCAAAAGGAAAAATTAAAAGACATGTGCATGAACTTTGCTGATTTAAGAGGTTAGAATTATTTCAAATGGCATTAAAATTGAATCTTCTTTTTTATAGACTCTTCATTGCATGTAGAGAAAACAGGACTGAATGGATTATACTAACACTTTGCTCATTTGAACCCGGTAGGATAGAGATGGCCAGTCTAAATTACTGAAAAATCCAGAATTGTAGAGTTTTAAAAATGCAGCTTTATTACTCTTAGATGTACTTATGGGAACTCGAAATGTAGGCCTTCTGGAGAAGAAGAAATAATTTTATATAAAACGAGCGCTTTTAGAATGCTTGAAAGCTAACTTTCCTAAGTGTTTACCTTTTCCTCTGATAGCTTGGTATCAGTATAAATTTGCTTCACAAATCCTTATTTTATAGATATTACTTAATGAGCCTCAACCTAGCTTTTATCCCAATGATAATAAATTCTACTTTAATTCTACTGAATTAATTGTATTTTAGTACAGTTTAAAAACCTTTGTTACAGGCCAATTTTGATGATCTGTGGAGGAAATTTGTTACGTATTCATCTGGTGAACAACTTTTTGGATTGCCTGTGACTGACTATGAGGTTTTACAAAAAACCAGGTGAGTTTAGAAAATAAGCAAGTATTACACGCAAATAATTAAATACTATCTATTAGAAGAATCATGTCACCATTGAATCCTTTATTATGCAGAGGACACCACAGCTTGGAGCACAACTGAATATTCTCCTTATTCCAGCTATTCCTGACAAATCGGACACACGGTCTCCTATACAAAAGAAACGTTCTAGGGGAATGGAAAATATGTTGCTGAAATTTTGAGCATGCATGGTCTGTATTTAGCCTATGCTTTACTTTTTCTTTGACTGTTTTTGCATAGTGTCAGTGATTATGCAGAAGCACTGCAATTTTGAGTAACTTTTGTTTATTTAGAGGAATAACCCTCCTGGCTCCCCTTGCCTTTTTTTTTGAGACGGAGTCTTGCTCTGTCGCCCAGGCTGGAGTGCAGTGGCGCGATCTCGGCACACTGCAAGCTCTGCCTCCTGGGTTCATGCCATTCTCCTGCCTCGGCCTTCTGAGTAGCTGGGATTACAGGTGCCCACCACCATGCCTGGCTAGTTTTTTTGTATTTTTAGTAGAGACGGGGTTTCGCCGTGTTAGCCAGGATGGTCTCCATCTCCTGACCTCAT